ACCCTAAAAACTAAACTACTGGCTGTTTATCAGTGAGGAACAGTCTCTTTTTTTTTTAAGCAAAAATCAGAAAGTATCAGTTCTGTCCTGATGCTGACCAGAACATTTTTCAAAATCTCAAGAGTTTTTATGACATAGGAAAACAGTTTCTGGGCCAGATTAGCGGTCTACATGTGAAAGTTACCCTTGAACAAGATATGATGTGAATTGGCAGAGAAATAACTACTGTCTTAGGACTCATCTAGTATGAATTGCAGAGGCAAAGTAGTTCACTACAACCCAAAAGGAAGAAAACTGTCCGGGCAATAGCCAATGAGCCCTAAAACACATCTATCCAATATTATGATCAATTACATCCATTGGAATGGGGCAAATCTGCATCCAAAAGTGGTACCCTCATAACTGAATGTGATGTGGCTCCAAACAGTCCTATCACATAAAAATCTTAAAACCAAATAATGATATTGTGGAGGAAAAACATTCCAGAAAGAAGCCTTTTCCTTTCTATTATGACAAGCAGCTTCTGAACAAGGGAGGTAACACATCTACCCAGAGTTTGTGTCCTCTTGACTGTTCCCTATAACAAGCAACATTTTCAAATGTGATCTCCAATTTTGGGTGCCCAACATTAGGAATCTGAAGTCCAATTTTTAGGAGGTGTTGAACACCCTCAGCCAGCTCAGCTGGAATTCAGATTATTTGATATCCCTGAAAATCAAACCCTAAGGCCGTGGTTACCAACCTGGAGATCGGGATCTACTGGTAGATTTTGAAGCTTCTAACAGGTGATCCTGACTGGTGTGGCCAACAGATTATCAAGCCCAGCACTTCAGCTACCCCACCTCAGCCCACTGAACATCTCCTGCATTTTGCTTTGGAGCTGTCTCTTCCCACCCCCAGGAGCCTCCTGCTTTCTGTGCAGGGCAGGGGAAGGGAAGGAGGGGGCACTGTCGTCTAGATGCCCCCTCTCCCACGCTGTATCCTATCTCCACAGAACAGAGAGGGGGCACAACAGGGCTTGAGATGGAGTTTTCTGGCTGCTTTTGGGAATGGTGCAGGGCCAGAGCATGGGTGAGCCCCTGCCTTAGCCCTGCTGCACCGCCACTCAGGAGCCACCTGCGGTAAGCAATGCCCAGCTGGTGCTAACATCCCAAAACCCTGCCCCTGTCATGAACCCCCTTCTGCAACCCAAGCCCAAAGCATCCCTGTATCAAAATACCCCCCCACCGGAGCCTGCACGTAGAACCCCCTCTGGTACCCCAACTGCCTGCCCCAGCCTGGTGAAAGTGAAGGAGGATGGAGTGAGCAAGGGCAGAGCCTCACAGAAGGGACACAAAGGAGGTGGGGCAAGGGTATTTGGGTTTGAGGTAGATCTTGAATTACACTGAAATTCAAAATGTGATCTTGTGCTTTAAAAGGTTGGCGACCACTGCCCTAAGGTATAAAGTTGAGCTCTCCTCAACTGAGGCATCCCTAAAATCAGAGGCCACTTTTGAACATTTAGGCCACTTGCCCCTCATGTTCTGAAGCATATGAAGCACAGCTAATTCCCACGGATTGGTTACCAGTCTATCAGTTTCTACCCCTGTAGATATGTGTATTTTTCAGTAAGAAAGAAACCGCTGTCAAGAAAATTTGTCAGCTTTACAATTTATGAGAAGGATTTAGTTAACATACATTAAGGCAGAATACTGATATTTATGTATGTTAGGAAGGATTACCCTAAGCACTAATGGAATCCTAGTGAACACTTTTTCCTCTCCTACATAAAAAGAGCAGTTTTAACTTTGTGGATGGCTTTTTCATTGCACCACCTCTGTCTTCCATTTAACTCTTCATCAAAGTAAAGTCTGGCAAATAGTCTTTGTATGTAACACCATTTAAAAAAAATCAGCAAGTGAATAAAACAAAGTGAAAGGGGTAGCAGTTTTTCCAGAAACGCCCATGTTAATTCTATTGTGATTTTTTTCCAATGTTTTAAAAGTGTGAATTAATGTTGGCGTATGTCCAAGTAGAACAATCCTGGATCTTCATGGCTCTGACAAAAACTCAAGTTAGCAAATCTCCACAGCCTTTTTTCAAAACGACTGTCAATAGTGAACCAGCTGCTGTGGCCATTCCAGGTTTCCCCACTATATCCCTTAGCAGTTCTGATATCATTTCTTTAACTATCTCTCACTGAAAGTCACTGTTGTACTCAAAATAAGAAGAGCTCAAGCACAAGGATCACTGAACCCTGTGAATCTTTCATCTTTTTTATTTATTTGCCTTGGTTCTGAGTAAGTGTAGCAAGCAGTAAGCAATGCATTCATACAGTACACACACTACTAATGACTTGTCAACATTGTAGTGCCAAGCAGTTGCTTCTCTAGCCAGAAATGACATTTTACACAAGGAAATGATTTGACTGGTGTCCCACGGTTATCTGAAATCTTTAATTTTCATACACCTGGAGTTGCAGCTCAGTCCCACACAGATTTGATGGTTTGTCATGCACTGTACTCTTATACTTATCATAAACCACACTGGAGCATGCTGTCAGCCTTAAAAGTATTCATTTAAAATCCTTTTAAAAAATGAATACCACATATTTTTAAAGTGTCTTTATTTTTCTTTGGAATACAAAATAGGAAATAATAAACAACACGGGCACACTCACATACATATAAATGCCTCCTGGGTCAGTAGGGGAGAAAGAGGATTTCTCTCAAAGTTTTGGCAAGGTTTTGTAGTAACTATAAAGTCACAACGTGGGCTGAGATTTTGTGCTGCTCCACTAATGGTATGTTTCTACTGACTGCAGCATATTCAGACACATCCAAGATACAGCTAAACGAATGCTTGATTGGCTAAGAGTAAAAGCTGCAGCAACAGTGGCAAGTATGTAAAGTCAGAGGTTGCCGTCTTTGCTTTTGACAGAAGAATTCTCCTCCTGCTGTGATGGGCTTGTAGGGTCCCATTATTCTACTTTACCCCTAAAGCTGTAAGTGGGCCAGGATCAAGGTGAAAAATCACACCCATAGGATGCGTCTACACTGGCACAGTTTTCTGTTATAAGTATTTCCGGAAAAAGCGCGTCTACATTGGCAGGATGCTTTTCCGGGAAAAGTGCTTTTCCGGAAAAGCGTCCGTGCCAATGTAGACGCACTTTTCCGCAAAAAAGCCCCGATTGTCATTTTCGCAATCGGGGCTTTTTTGTGGAAAAGAAATCTGTGCTGTCTACACTGGCCCTTTTCTGGAACAGTTTTCCGGAAAAGGACTTTTGCCCGAATGGGAGCAGCGTAGTTTTTCCAGACGATTTTACAGTAGATCGTCAGTGCTTTTCTGGAAATTCAAGGGGCCAGTGTAGACAGCTGGCAAGTTATTCCGGAAAAGCGGCTGATTTTCCGGAATAAGTAGCCAGTGTAGACACAGCCATAGTGAGTGATGCAGTGACAAAGCAAGTCAGAAGCTGTGCTGTGTCTGGACTATGAAGGACCCAAAGAAAAAATAAGGTTTGGACTAACGTGCCCACTGGCAGTTATTCAGCACATATTGGTAAATTTACAAGAAACCAGTACTTTTCATTGTTATAAAATGATGTTCAAAGCTAATTTTAATGCAAACTATTCTGATATGCAGATAAACTATAGAAACTAGTATTTTAGGAGAAAAATATTTGCTGGTACCGGTGTTGCTAAGTCTCACAATTTTATCATAAGCCTTGCCATACACTGTTGTTGTTTTTTAAAAAAACCTCAGCTCTTGTGATTACATAAGAAACACTGGTATTTTTAAAGTAAATTTTTGACCTCATGGTGGTACAGAAAAGCTTGCAAATGTGATCCAAGTGCACATTAAATCCTGAAAAACCAGAAGGCCTATAAAAAGAATCTCTCAATTCTATGTTATTTACAAATCTCATTATTTAATGGGACTTTACTTATGCATTCTGAATATTTGGGCTTGCTAATATTGTTGGTTATACTGGTGAAAATCCCTGATCCATTACTAGGTGCTATGGAAATACAAAGCATGATAGTGAAGTTCCTAATCTTGTACCGAAATCCGTCAACTGGAGTTTTGCTCTTAATACCAATGAAAGTAGCTATACCATAGATTTATTTGAAAAGAACAGAAATAAGAAAAAGGTAAAGGATAAATATTAAGACATCTAACTACTCCAACATTTACCATATATTAAATATATGTTCTACTATGCATGCCATCAGTTTAGACAGAATAGCTTTTTCATAAATAATGGTGATATTCTACAGACTCTCTACATAATACAAGCTTACACACTGCAAAGAGGTTTTTAATAGGGATGTAAATGGTTTAACTGGTAAGCCTCACCCTTAATCAGTGAGGCTTACCTGTCCTAGTTAACTTTGTAAGGGTTGGAGCATCTTCCCACCACCGGTGTAGGCAGGGGGCTGTTCCAGCTCTGCAGGGCTCTCCACAACATCCCCTGTCAGAGGCAGATCTGGCCACACTTCCTGGGAGCTGGCTGCAGAGCCCACAGCAAAGCCACCTCCCTGGGAGCAGTCGGCAGCAGCATCTGCCATCCCTGTTCCTGGAAAGGTTTCGCTGTGGACTGCAGTATAAAGCTTAAATCAGTATTTAAGCTTTTTACTGCAGAGACCACAGTATGATTTTTAGCAGTTACTGGGTTACATTTTTAAAGAAATGTTTGCATCCCTAGTTTTTAAGTCTGAATTTTCCATAAAAAGATCAATCTGAAGTAATATTGTAACTCACTAACACAGTATGTCTCTGTTCTTTCTAGTACCTAATGCACATATACAGGTGTGTGTGAATACTACTAAATCCAAGCTAAAGCATCTGGTCTTGTAGCTCAAATAGCAAAGATTCATGCTTTTACATACTGAGGTCCCAAAGTTCAATCCCCAGGGGTAACATTACACTCTCTCACACAATGATTTACTTACAAAGACTCTTAGTCCTGCATAATACCAACAACAATAAAGAAAGCTGCATAGGGAGACATTTTCACTTACGTGGTTTATATAGAGACTCTTGCGTTTTTCTCTCACTGCAAAAACATAAAATGTAAATAGAAATATTATATGACTGCATTTGTCTCAGTTAAGCTTCTCTTACATATCTTCCTACTTTTGATTGCAAAATAGTATATGTGTAACACTAACCAAATTCACTCATTTGAGCACAGAAATAACACCTCTCACACTTACACACTTAAAAGCATTTAAATTCTGCATTGTTCTAGCTGATAAATTCTCATCTGCTTGGATATTTCACTAAGACTGCATGCACTGGAACTGCCTCCTAAAATCACTTGGTGCAACTCTACAGCCATTACTCATGTTGAGTAGTTAGTCTGAAGACAATGGAACTACTCAAGTGAATAAATCCTAAATAACCAGAGTGAATACTGCATGATAACTGATAGCAAACAAAATGTTTACAACCAAAGAAGCAAGTTTAAATAAACTTTAATGGTAAGACAAACGCTTGTTACAACTGATTCTATAGCCTGGCCTAATTTTTGTCAATATTTTTCTTATTAACTCCTTCCTTAGCCAACCTGTGGAGCTGTGTTCATCAACTATGATATTCAGGGTATTCACACATACAACCTCCTCACTTTTTCTTCACAGATAAGATTACTTGGTTATAAAACCTCAAACATTTGTTCACCATCCAAACAAGTCTAGGGCAGATTATCCCACCAATTTGGAACTCTTGTTTTGCTCACTCACTGTATTGGATTGAAAACATATGGTGATGGGAATCCTGAGTGACTAATAACCTGCTTGAACTTCTGCTGAAATGCTGTTCTATTCTAAATCTCCAAGCAGAGTGTTATTCCACCAAGTAAGTAAACAATACATTTAAGGAAATATCTACCATCCTTTAGTTACTTAACATCTGATCAAAGTATTTATCTGTTGCATAATACAGTGTAAATGAGGTAAATCATTTTCACAAGCTGCAGGCAGATACTTTACCAAGCAACTTTCACAATTATTAAAATTGGCACAGTTTATTCTGTATTTCATCAAAACTTTATTTGCACACAATTAAATATGTAGTAGCATCTCTTTGTCCACTACCTTCACACTGCATGTTGTGGCATGCAACAAAATTAGTGACAAAACACACCTCTGACTCCCATGTCAATATTCCAGTTTATCAGCTTTTACTGAACCCTACTTTTCTTTTTCCATGTTCATACACCCTCCAAATCATTTGGAGCCCTCACCATTGTATGATCCCCTGGTTACCGAAGGACTGCACTTATTGCTGGTTCACCCATGCCATTTACCCTATTCCAATCCTGATTGGTTGGAAACCGACACACCCCTCTACAGATTGTCTCTCTTTGTAAGACCCAGATAGATTTTTTTCCCCCTTCATCTTTTCCTAAAGGAAGTAAACTTCACTGAACTTGATTCTCCAGTTAGCAATCAGGGATGTAAACATATTGTTTAATAGTTAACTGATTAAAGAGGGCTGAGTGATGACGGCCGTTCCAGCCCACTGAAGCGCACCCCACCCCAAACTGGTGCTGGGCTGGAAGACCCCCATCACAGAAAAGGGATGTTCCAGCCTTGCCAGAGCAGCCCCTGCCTGTTGCAGGTCACAGAGCTTCATAGGCAGGAGCTACTCTGGAGAGACACATACTGGCAGCTCCTCCATGCTACCCCAAATGCTTCTCCTTGCCCTGTCCTGCCCTTCTCACCTTTCACCCCCAGAACCAGGCTCTCTCTCCATCACCCTTGCCTAGCCACCCACTCTTACAGCCCTGCTCAGCTGGCAGGGGGAGGATGGTGGAGAGAGCAGAGTTATGAAGAGTGGGAGCGGAGTAGAGAGAGGAAGAGTGGAGGGTGGGGCAGAGCAAGGGGCAAGGTTTTAGGGGAAGAGGCAGAGTAGGGGGCAAGAGTAAGGTCTGGCACTCAGTGTCAGGTTTTCAAAAATTATGAAGTTGGCCACCCTAATCACACTAGGAATCACAGCCGGTACAGAAGATGGCAAAGCCACTTCCCCTAGCTTTTCACCACCAGTGTCCTTGTGCAGAGGGAATTCTTCACCAGCTGCCCAAGCACACTTTGCACTGCTTACATGATATAGTGTCCTTGGGCAAACCATAGAAGTGGATTCCATTCTAATTAACAATCATTTGGTATCCCCAGATCCTTAGTTACAACACAAATAGCTGGGTTCAAGAGTGGAGTGGTTTAAGATGAAATTAAGCTGAACAGACTCAGAGTCACAGTTTAGACATTCAGACTAAGTCCCTGTTCATTTTTCTATTACTTCCCCCATATTTTTACAAAAACTTGCATCCTGGGTGGATTGTGTCAGGCATACTAACATATGGGAGAGCTGCCAGAATTTCTTAATTGTCTTTACATTTTAAAGCAAAACAACCTGTTCCCATTTTAAAAAAGATTCAAGTTGTTAAAAATGCATTTTTAGTACAGTAGGATGAATTAATTATCCAGAATTAAATTGAGGTAGGTTTTTTTTTTATTATTGTACTTAGTATTCCTTTGTGCAATGTGCACAGGCAGTTTTAATGGTAGACTTCAAAAGGATAAAAGGCAATACCCCTAGGTTAATAATTACACTTCAATCAAAGCCTCTCATGTATTGAAGAGTTCCTAAATAATTTAGTACAGGAATAAAACTACATTTCCTCTTGTTAGAGGAAAAATGGAATTGACTGGTATGGTTCGGTGGGCTGGTCTACATAAAAACAGAGCACAGTTGTTTTATTCCTCCTCATCCCATAAACTGGGGTTTCCTTTGAAGACAGCTATTATACCAGCACTGTTGAATTTAGCAAGTAAAATAGGACCTAATGTAAGTGATGGACGTAGGCAGCTCTATCTAACTGATGAAAAGGGAGATTTCCAATACACTCAAGTGGCAATCAGTCAAATATTGCCTAATTATTACAGGAGGAAAAATTACTTTATTGCAGTGTCTGGCTTTTAAAATCCTCAATGAACCACAGCCTTCACATTAAACTCAGTGTACAGTACACATGCACGCATGCATGTGCACCGTTTGTTTCCAGTCCAACTTACAGCCCATCCAGAAAGCCTTATAAGTAGTACTAAAATAAGTTAAAGATATCGAAGATATCTGGACAGGATCAGAGGGACGTGACGTGACAAGACAGGGTCATTGGGTGAGCAGGTTGGTGGAAATGCAACATCTTATTTGCATATTCATTACTTGCATAATAAATATGCAAATCTGCAAATAAAATGTTAGTAGTCCACCAAAAGTTTGTGAATGGGTTTGTCGGTCCGTGATATAAAAAGAAATGTGAGGACCACTGAATTAGCCTACTGAAATATTATTGTTCTGGGCACCACGACCAGTAGTATTTGAAGGACAGTGATTTATTTGGCAAGCAAATAAAAAGGTCACTTGTTTTTTCATCATTATCAAATCAAAAGGTTGATGAGGAGGTTTTATCTCTCTGCTGGTAAATGATTGAGGCCATTCAACAAGGTTGACATTGTTTTGTGAGAAAAAATAAATCACTTTCTTTTCTCTAAATTGTAAGGAACTGCATAACTGGGCTGATTTTGTAAGTTATTTGTCATTTTTTAAAGTTTCTCATAGCCTCCACATTACAAAAAGACTTAGCTTTTTATATTTCATAGAATCATAGAATCATAGGACTGGAAGGGACCTCGAGAGGTCATAGAGTCCAGCCCCCCGCCCTCAAGGCAGGACCAAGCTCCATCTACACCATCCCTGACAGATGTCTATCTAACCTGTTCTTAAATATCTCCAGAGAGGGAGATTCTACCACTTCCCTTGGCAATTTATTCCAATGTTTGACCACCCTGACAGTTAGGAATTTTTTCCTAATGTCCAATCTAAACCTCCCCTGCTGCACTTTAAGCCCATTACTCCTTGTCCTGTCCTCAGAAACCAAGAGGAACAAATTTTCACCTTCCTCCTTGTGACACCCTTTTAGATATTTGAAAACCACTATCATGTCCCCCCTTAATCTTCTTTTTTCCAAACTAAACAAGCCCAGTTCATGAAGCCTGGCTTCATAGGTCATGCTCTCTAGACCTTTAATCATTCTTGTCACTCTTCTCTGTACCCTTTCCAATTTCTCCACATCTTTCTTGAAATGTGGCGCCCAGAACTGGACACAGTACTCCAGCTGAGGCCTAACTAGTGCAGAGTAGAGCGGCAGAATGACTTCACGAGTTTTGCTTACAACACACCTGTTGATACAACCTAGAATCATATTTGCTTTTTTTGCAACAGCATCACACTGTTGACTCATATTCAACTTGTGGTCCACTATGACCCCTAGATCCCTTTCCGCCATGCTCCTTCCTAGACAGTCGCTTCCCATCTTGTATGTATGGAACTGATTGTTCCTTCCTAAGTGGAGCACTCTGCATTTCTCCTTATTAAACCTCATCCTGTTTACCTCTGACCATTTCTCTAACTTGCTAAGGTCATTTTGAATTATGTCCCTATCCTCCAAAGAAGTTGCAACCCCACCCAGTTTGGTATCATCTGCAAACTTAATAAGCGTACTCTCTATCCCAATATCTACATCATTGATGAAGATATTGAACAGTACGGGTCCCAAAACAGACCCTTGAGGAACTCCACTTGTTATCCCTTTCCAGCAGGATTTAGAACCGTTAACAACAACTCTCTGACTACGGTTATCCAGCCAATTATGCACCCACCTTATCGTGGCCCTATCTAAGTTATATTTGCCTAGTTTATCAATAAGAATATCATGCGAGACCGTATCAAATGCCTTACTAAAGTCTAGGTATATGACATCCACCGCTTCTCCCTTATCCACAAGGCTCGTTATCCTATCAAAGAAAGCTATCAGATTAGTTTGGCATGACTTGTTCTTCACAAACCCATGCTGGCTATTCCCTATCACTTTATTACCTTCCAAGTGTTTGCATATGATTTCCTTAATTACCTGCTCCATTATCTTCCCTGGGACAGACGTTAAACTGACCGGTCTATAATTTCCTGGGTTGTTCTTATTCCCCTTTTTATAGATGGGCACAATATTTGCCCTTTTCCAGTCTTCTGGAATCTCCCCTGTCTGCCATGATTTTTCAAAGATCATAGCTAAAGGCTCAGATACCTCCTCTATCAGCTCCTTGAGTATCCTGGGATGCATTTCATCAGGACCTGGTGACTTGCTGACATCTAACTTTCCTAAGTGATTTTTAACTTGTTCTTTGTGTATCCTATCTTCTAAACTTACCCTCTCTCTGCTTGTATTCACTACGTTAGGCACACCTCCAGACTTCTCGGTGAAGACCGAAACAAAGAAGTCATTGAGCATCTCCGCCATTTCCAAGTTCCCTGTTACTGCTTCTCCCTCCTCACTAAGCAGTGGGCCTACCCTGTCCTTGGTCTTCCTCTTGCTTTTAATGTATTTATAAAAGGTCTTCTTGTTTCCCTTTACGCCTGTAGACAGTTTGATCTCATTTTGTGCCTTTGCCTTTCTAATCTTGACCCTGCATTCCCATGTTGTTGCTTGCCTATATTCATCCTTTGTTAGTTGTCCTAGTTTCCATTTTTTATACAACTCCTTTTTTATTTTGAGATCATGCAAGATCTCCTTGTTAAGCCAAGCTGGTCTTTTGCCATATTTTCTATCTTTCCTACACAGCGGAATTGTTTGCTTTTGGGCCCTTAACAACGTCCCTTTGAAATATTTCCAACTCTCCTCAGTTGTTTTTCCCTTCAGTCTTGCTTCCCATGGGACCTTACCTACAAGTTCTCTGAGCTTATTTAATAAAACAATGATAGTAGAGTGGATCAAATATTTTGAAACATGATTTTTAATGACTTTTTTCATCACTTCAACCAGCTCTAAAAACAATACTTGCATTCAATTAGTACTTTGCACTTTCATAATACCACTGATGTAAGGGTCACCACAGCCAAGTTACAGATTGCCAAACCTAGGAAAGGATGCCGGGTGATGTGTGTGGTTAAGTGACATACATAAATCTCTCAGCAAATCAATGGCAAAGCAACATGCTCCTGGCTTTAAATTAAGGCCCCATTCTGGGCAGATGGAGTCAACAGGCCTCCAGGAGCAGAAGAGTACCCACACACAACCCACTACAGATCTGGGTCTAAATGCATCTTCTCTGAAGAGGACCATTTTAAAAATTACCAGAAAACAAAAATAAAAACTGAAAAAGATGCCACTAGAATTTCTGATACACAAATGTGCACTTAGCTGAATAAAAACTTAGAAAAGCATCACGTATTCAAAAACAATGAGGAGTCCTAGGTTACCTTAAAGACTAATAGATTTATTTGGGCATAAAGTTTAGTGAGTAAAAACCACTCCATCAGATGCATGGAGTGGACCAAGTGACAAAAGTGTTTTTGATCCATGAAAGCTTTTGCTTTAATAAAACTGTCCGTATTTAAGGTGCCACAAGGACTCCTTGCCGGTTTTGGAGATATAGACTAATACAGCTACCCCTCTGATACTTATTTACTCGTACATCTAAAACAGAGTTCATATACTGCCGAAAAAGGAGAACAGAGAACGCACAACGAAATAAACAAAAGAAAATTTGCTTGGAAAATCTGGGTAGAAAATAACGGGCTTTGTATTCATGACTTCACTCAAGCAGGACACATCAAGAGGATCTTTTAAAAACAGACTTAATTTCTGTCAGGTTATATTTGCCTCTCAGTTTAAAAAAATCCGGACAAATAAAAGACACTGTCAAACCATGCTGATCAATAAAAATATTTAGGTTTTCAAAACCCAGAGAGCTCATGTGAACTGTCATTTATATTTTTCAACCTGTATGGGGCCAACATCAGGCTACATCCTCAGCTGGTTTAAACTGCCTTTGGTCCAGCTAAGCTATGTGGATGCACAAGAACTGCAAAGCTAGCTCACTGAAAGACAATTGTACTAAAAGGCAGACACTTCTTAAACCCTTGTACTCGGAGTGGAGCATAGGTCATCTACAAGTCTCCTCCACTTCACTCTGTCTTGACACAAAACCTCTAGCTGACTTCAGGAGTATCCCAGTTGTAGAGAACCATTTTTTTTTTACCTATTAGTATTTGTAGCTCAATTATGTGCTTTGAACTTGCAATTTTCAATACTCTACAGGGCCCAATTCTGTAACCATTTATTCATGGACCTGACCTAAAGCTACCTGATGTCAATGGAGAGACTGCCACTGACTTAAATGGGCTTTGCTTCAGGCCCTATGTGCACTTCTCTGTATATCCATGGGTCCAAATGATTTCAACATGGTGACTCATTAAATAAGACCTTTAAGGATTATGTCCAACAGATGACTTCAGTCACAAACCAACTCATCCGCATGACTTGATACACGGCAGTAGTCCAATGGGGTCTACTCTACAGGATAATTCACAGGTGTTAACTTCTGCAAGAGCTCAGGTGTTTGCAGGATAGGCAATTTTAACAATCTTGATGTGACAATTAAAAAAAAAATTAGTAGGTTAGGATTCAAATAAATTAGAGAGAAGATCAATACCTATGTGTCTGATCCTGCAGTCTTTTCACAGGCAAGAATAACTTTGAAGTCAGCTTAGATTTTATTGTTTTGCATAAAGAAAGCAGAATCATACCTTACACAGTGCTTCCCAACCTTTTTGGTACTGATGGCACTGGCAAACCCATTCTCAAACTTTTGGTGGACCAGTAACATTTTATTTGTATATTCATTATGCAAATGATAAATATGCACTTAAAACATTACCAGTCTGCCAAAAGCCCAGCCCCCAGAGTCCCCAGTGCCAGCCCTAAGCCACTAACCGCAGAGTACCCTGCACCAACCTCCCTAGTGCCAGCCCCCCATCCCAAATGCCTCAGTGCCAGCCCTCTGCCCCTTAGAATCCCACCACCACCAGATGCCCAGTATCAGCCTCCTCTTTTGAGCCCCACTGCATCCCCTGAGCCTGCCCCATTGCCAGCCCCCAATATTAGCCTCATCCCCAGAGCCCCTCAGTGCCAGCCCTGCACCCATAGACCCCTCACTACTAGCTCAGCCTCCAGCACCCCCCAGGACTAGCCCTGTCCCTGGAGCCCCCAGTGCCTACTGCACCCCCCTCACCTAGTCTTGCAGTGCTGCCCACATCTCAGAGGCTCTAGGGTCCTCCTCCCACCACAGCTGTTGGGAGAGGCATGTCCTCCCCTCCTCTCAGCTGGGCAGGGACAAGGTCTCCTCCAGCCTCAGAAGAGTGATTCCCCGCACAGCAGGAGGGCCGCATGGCACAGAGTCTCCTCCCGGCCATGGAAGAGCGCTTCCCTACATGGCAGGAGGGCCACGCAGAGCAGCTCTGTGCTGCTCTCCAGCTGCATGGACCCCCTGCTCTCCAGACCCCACCCCTGCCAGCGCTCAACAGCCGCTGCGGCCCAGCAGCTCGAGGTCCGCCCAGCAATTGGGAACTGTTGCCTTACCATGCATTAGTTACTAATAAAAAACCACTGAGTCAGAGTATATCAACATAGGTTCAATTTACATGAACTAACAATCTGGCCAATTACGTGTAGCCACACCTATCTGCCATTGTTTTGTCTTGTTCTCCTGAAGCATGGCAAAACATCCAAACAAAACAAAAACAAAAAGCCTCCCACCCCACTTTATATTTAAGTCTTTGGCTGATATCAGAGACAATCAATTCAACTAAACTGCCCAAGAGATTACCGCATGAAAAGTTTAGAAATAATCTGAACACAGAGAAAACTGTAGTAAATCCAGTAACCTACCATCTGTTTGAGATTTACTGAGGAATATTGTGCTGGCCCGTGGGTGATCCGATGGATTGAATTCCATATTCAAATCTTGAAAGGAAGAAACAAAGTTACAGTACGTTAATGTTTATGCAACAAGCAGATTTTCTTTTTATTAAAACTGACCGATTAATTTGTTTTACTGTAACTTTTTTATATGCAATCTTGAGGCCCAGTCTTGAAGCCCTTAGTCACACAAATGGTCCCCAGAGGAATCAGGACTGTTTGCATCAGAAAGGGGATGCGGCCTTCAGTGTAATGGTTTCTACGGATTGATGCAAGACAAGCAGCTTTTAAAAGTGTGTATTACAAAGTCAAGAGTTGTACATTTTTCATTCCTTTCCTTTGCACATCCCAAAGCTTTTGCCAAGTGCAGTAATAGAGCTTTCTGCATATAATATAGGAAAATTAGATACAGTATAACAATTATATAGAGCCATGTGGACAGTAGATGGCTTTCCACTGTTACATGTGATTACAACAAACAACTATTGATGTTTAATTTAAACAAGTTACTCTAGACCAGTGTGTTTAAAAAGGCCACACTTTTGGAAAACTAACTTATCACAAGGACCACAGGAAGAGTCACAGAATGGCACATTGCCTCCTGTGGCTACTTCATTTCTAAAAAGAATGCACCAAGATAATCATAAGGATGCCCTGTAGTACCAGGTCACAAATTACCTCATTACCAACCTGCTTCCTCCTTTCACAACACACATGAACTTCCAGAAAGCATCATTTTCCTTGGCAAGGTTAACACCCTCTCAAACTCATCTGCCCCAAATCCCCCCCTTCCTCCCTCCTGTCACCATTTCTTCATAAACCTTACTTCTGGCCAAGTAATCCGAGCACAGTGTAAAAACAGGTACCTCATTCTCTAATCTTTTTTGCTTCCTCTTTAAGCACAACCTCCATAGCTCTGCGTCTTCTCTTCTGGGTGAATCTGAACCTGGGACCTCCGGAGTTTAGTATAGGAGCCTCTACCCTCTGAGCTAAAAGCCAGCTGGCTCTCACCCCATGCTGTTGAGGTCTCTCGTTCTTATCTGTTGCTGTGGTTTAAGTGCCACTGCATGGGACAGTGAACCACACCGGGTTCATTTGCCTCAGAACCAATTAAGAAGGTTGCTACTTTTCTGTCAGGTAATATCTCCCAACCGAAAAATAATTCTCCCCATTTTTCCCTCCTCCAACAGATCCACTGGCAAGCCAAGCAAATCTGAAATCAAGACCCATTTCTTGCCAAGATGAAAGTGAGGTATTTTTTAGCTTAGTGACTATGTTCTCCCCCAAGCTGGACCTTCACTTTTCTATGTATCTCCTTAGCCTTCTTTATTTCCCCCAACTTATTCACTGGGCTTTTCAGCCAAACTTCTTACCTTCTCTTCTCTCCTCTCTTTCCCATTCTTATCCCTTTTGGCTAGTCCTCTTTTTGCCATTTCCTTCCAACACACTGTTCCCCCAACATCACAACCAGCACCACGTCTTCTCATCCCACATTGCATCCCCAAACATGATCCTCACCTTGCAAGCACAACATAAAGACTGTTTGTGGGGTTTTAGTTGAGAACCACAGCTGGATTCCACAGATCAGGCCTACTATCTCCGCCTCATATGCAACAAGTGACACCTGAATCAACCTCCCAATTGGGGAGAGGCTCATTATTTCCAAGTAGAGATGTTAAATATCGGTTAATTGAATAGTCGAGTAACCTCATGAGTTCGTATTGGTTAGTCAACTATTCTATAGTCCCCGCAGGTGGAGCTGGTAGCCAGTGCGCTTCAGCCTCACTCCCAAGGAGCCCCCTGCCACACCATGCTTCTGCCTCTATATCAGAGGCAGCAGCGCGGGGTGGCAACAGCCCGTCTAGGGTGGGTCTGAGCTCCCGGACCCAGCGCAAGCTAGAACTGTGCTGGGCTGCTTGCCCACCCGGATCCTAATACACTTTAAATGCAGAGCCTCAGCCCGAGTCCAGTCACAAGCCAGGACTGAGCCAGGCTGCTGGCCAACCTGCTAAAAAATGTACTGGCGAGGGAGGGAAATGAATATAGTCTATAGCATTAACCTATAAGCTTTTTTGCTTCTAGGTTAATCAGTTAATCGACTACACTATTATATCCAGATTTTCAAATAATTCTTCCAGCACACTCAACAAAAGAATCCTGCCAACTGGTCACCAAACCATTGGAAAGTCAGGTTACTACTCTTAGAAATCATAATTTATTGTGGTGCTGACAAAAGATTGAGATGGCGTCTTATTTCTCTGAGAAACTGAACAGTTCATGACAACAAACAACATTTTTCATACGGCTTTCTATGTCTTATTCAGAAATAGCACCAAAGAAGTAAATAATAGAAAGCAGATGACCTGCAATGAGATGAGTGGCGCTGCTAAGGTAATTTTCCAGTCTGAACCAAGATGCATTTCATTAGGTAGAAGAATAAACAATACTTTAAAATTGTTGAGTGTCATCTTTCATATTAGTAAAACCAGTATGATTTTATCCTACTGTAGAGGTTTCCATGCAATTTCTGTTTACAGCACGGCAATGTAAAAATCAGTCACTAAAGCAGTCTCTCTAAAACGAAGCTGAACTCTGACATTTAAAGAAAGCACTTGAGCAGACAGGTGTTTCCTTTTGTTCCAGTCTAAGGCCACAGGATTGACCCTCATCTTTTCAGTACATAGGGACATTTTGGCACAGGTTCAGGCACTGCTTGCAAGGAAGAAAGAAAAACTGATTTCCATATCTCTAAGATGAGTTTCCATCTAAACAAAGTAACAGGACTATAAAGGGACTTAGTGTGGAAGAAATATCAAATGAAAATTAAAAGAGGACAGGAATTTAAAGTGATATTTAGTTCTTCAGATACAATGTTCTTCTCTGACAGCATATTGAAAAGAACAGGGTAAAAGAGAAAACGTTTTATTTAGGCCAGTGGTTTTAACGTGTGGTCTATGAACCTCTGTGAACCTGCAGACTATCTATGATTACCAAAAGGGTCTGCACCTCCATTAAAAAATTCTTAGGGATATGCAAATAAAAAATGATTGAAAACCACTTCTTTAGGCTATAATTGTTTATATACTATTGAAGCAGCACTATTGGAGGAATATTTTTACCTGGTGAATACATTTTCAGGCTGTGATAGACCTGAGATAAGTAAAATCTCAATTTACTGTACAACTGCAAACACATATGCACTTCAATTTAAAGCTGGTCAACAAACTCCATTGAAGATTGTACTTAAAACTTGTATAGAAGTCTGTGACGTATGTATGAGGAAGTCAACAGAAGTACACACATCGTTTTAAGTTTCAAAGCAGTTACCACAATCCCTTCAAAGGTCAGTATTGCATCCCTTTTCTCTGTGCCCCCCTCCCCTTCCATAATATGGGAAACAGTCCTATTCCTGGCAATTACAGTTTTCCTGGCACAACCAAACCCTGACCTTATTTTAAGTTAGGTAGGATAAGAAGAAATTTGGCGTTCCTAGTTCTTGCCATTTAGGACATCGGTTCCCAAACTAGGGGGTGTGATGAAATTCCAGGGGGCGCACAAGGCAAACCAGCTTCCCTCTCCCCCCCAATCAAGTTTTGCTGCCCTGTTCAGTTCCCTTTTTCCTTTTGCTCAACAAGTTTTGCTGCTATTTGGGAGCATAGGGGCGTGAGGGTTTTAAAAAAAAAAAAAAAAAAAAAAGAGGGGTGTGATGTCAAAAAGTTTGGGAACCACTGATTTAGGAGAAATTTTTGAACAAACAGACTCAAAGATGTAGCACATTTCTAACCTAATGATACTTTTATACTACTTACGTGTCTAGCTCATTTCTTCAAAGCATCAAAATGCTTAGCAAACACTACCTTGTAACACATGGGTAGGTAAGAGGTGGCCGTGCAACTTTAAAACCTCACTCAGAGGTGTGAAGGAAGAGTCTCTATCCAGAGAAGGATGATGTACAGAAACCTGAGACTTGACTGGGAGCTCCTGAAGTATACCACAAAGCAGAAAATACAGGAGCAATTACTCATTTCCCAATAAGTAAACTGAGGCACAGACAACTTTTTTTAAATCTGAACAATCTTCAATAATTGGCATAAAGGAGAATAATGAGAGCAAACAAGGAAGTTGTGATGTTTTATTATTACATGTGATTATATAGATCATTATTGATGCCACTGTAATAAAAGCTACAATCTTCAGAATGTGATTATCCTATTTGTAAGCATGCATCGTTTTTGTATTTAAAGTTCTGAATATTGACTATGTGCCTATATTTCAAATGCATTTCCTCCTGTGGTAACAGCCACAAGGCATTTTACATCAAGTTTAGCCAACACACTGTGAATGGAGTATTTGAGTGATGCCCCACCCACACACACCAGGCCATGAAAGAAGCTTATCCACACATGACAGACTTTAATGTGGATGGTCTGACATAGCAGAGGCCAATTCACATTTGCTAAACTCATGGAAGCAGGTGTGGCCAACCTAAGCCTGAGAAGGAGCCACAGTTTACCACTGTACATTGCCAAAGAGCTACAGTAATTTGTCAGCAGTCCCCAGCAGATACCTCCTCTCCCATCTCCAGTATCTTTTGCCCATCAGCAGCCCAACCGATCACTGCCTCCTTTTCCTTCCCCGTGCCTCTTGCCCACTGCAGTCAGCTTTTTCATGGCTCTCAGGAGGCTCTCTGGGGGAGGGAAGGAGCAAGGCAGTAATACACTTGGAGGAGGTGAAGCCAGGAGTTGAGCACTAGAAAGTGGACACCTGTAGCTGCAGCCCGAGTCAGTGCCTGAGCAAGGAGCTGCGTTTTAACTTCAGAAGAGCCACAAGTGGCTCCAGAGCCATGGGTTGGCCACCCCTGCATTGAAGCATATGACTAGAACATGTGACACCAAATTCCATCTTGTGCCTGTATTTTCCCACAAACTATGCTAAAGGCTTTGTTTGAAACAAAGTTTCTCGCCACAAGGCAGGAGTTATAAAGGCCCTTGAGACATCTCCAGTTTGCCCTTTCCAGCTCTCATTTCTGGCCTATGGACTTATAC